GTTCCTCGGCTGGTTCCTCTGCTGGGAGAGGAGACGCTGCCGGGGTTTTAGATGACATTGAACTTAACACTCTTTCTGCCACCCCTGACTTGACAGATTTCTCAGATCTGGAGGATTTCACAGATGTGCTGCTTCGTGGTCTTTCTTCCGTTCCTTTGTCGTCTCGTATTTCTTCAGCTGCGACGTCTGAAGCATCAGATGCAGATTCTGTGGAGGCATTTGAATGAGCTGACATGGCACTTTTCTCCTCTTTGTCTTTGGCCTCTGTGTTTGAGCTGTTTGATTTGACAGACATGGCACTTGATTCGTCTCTTTGTGTCTCACCTTCTCCTTCAGCTCGACTCGTTTCATCGCCCTTAGGTGCTGCACAGCGACAGGTGTGTGAAGCTTTGGATCTCTTTGATTTGCCAGAGTGTCCAGAAGAGTTGGAAGCTCTTTCTACAGGGCTGGAGGATGAAAGCTGCACAGGAGATCCAGTATTTAACTCTGCAGAGGCGTCTTCTGGTTCAGATTTACTGTTCTGGGAAGATGTCTGAGGTGGAACATCTTCATCCTCATCATTCTGATTCTGCTCATCGCCTGAAGCTCTGCTGACAGATTCTGCAGGTTCTTCAACATGGGCCTGATCTCTGGACGGTGGTGAGCAGGTCTGACTCCTGATGGTGCAGTACTCCACAGTCTCAGCTGTTTCTGTCTCCACCAGCTGCTCCGTCAGCCCCTCGGTGGCTCCACACACCACCGTCTTCCTGGAGACCACGGTGTGTGAGGAGGCGCTGGAGCTGGAGGTCTGGCTGTAGCGACTCGCCCCGTGAGTTCCCGGGACGTCCTTCCAGACGTTGTAGTCGTGGCAGCGGCTGCAGCAGCGAGGACAGCGAGGCTCAGCGGCGGCTCTGTGGTGCTGCTGACGGACCAGCGCCTCGTCCCGCTCGCCGGCAGACACGTTGTCCGACTCAGAGCAGCTCCTGTCGCTCACCTGTGCAGAGCAGGTGTGGCTGTGGAGGAGCTCGCAGGTCCTGCTGGCGCTCTTCCTCACTTCAGTCGACCAGTGCAGAGTTTCATCGTTCTCCAGCCGGAAGCGCACTTTCATCTGCATGGACAAACTGCCGTCTCTGTTCACACGAACACGTTTCTCGATGTCGTCTTCTCTCAGCCCGTCGCCAGACGGAGGGCAGGAGTCCACGTTGTCTGGAGACTCGGTTCCATCCGGCGCTGATTTGTCAGACGACACCGACTGCCGGGTCGCTCTGCTGTCAGACTGCAGGTCTGGATGGACGACACTTCTCTTGGCAGTGAGTCCTGGTTTAATGTTCAGCCATGAAAAACACAAAGAGATCCCATCAGGACTGCTTTAATTTAACAGCATTTCATCTTTCAGCAGCATTACTTGGTTTAATTATTTAGAATTTAACTGATAATTAATGGTGGTATTCTGGTGGATCTGCTTTCATCAGTGTTAACAGAAAAGTTTAAAAAGCACCTCCACACTTTCACAGCTTTGAACTCTGAACCTAACGGAGACTGTCAGGTCCAGATGGTTCCAACTGGTGGCTCCAAACTACCCGACAGCACACCACACAGCCACAAAATGACTTAAAACTAGAGACACACAAACAGACCAGACAGAGAACAACACTGCCTAAAGGAGACGCAAAACAAACACAAACAGATGCAAAAGTAAGGCAGACGCACAACAGCAGCAAAGACAAAGAAAATCACTCAAAACAACAGACACACAACAACCGGCAGCGTTCTACCTTCGTGTCCGTCGGTGCAGCCGGACGAACGGGACCTCAGCTTTGGGAGTTTGTCGTCAAACGTTTCTCTGAAATTTTCTGCGATCGCGGGGTGAGAAGGTTCCCGTCCAACACAGACCAGAACACCGGGACACTGCAGGAGGCTCTGAACGCTGTCCACCTGGAACAGAACCGCAGCAGCAGCCACATCAGGGCCGTTGGGTTACTGAACACACTTTATTACTCTCATGTACCAGGACATGAGCAGGTTCTTAAAACCAACTACTTCTGAGTATTTCCTTGGTGGTCATTAGGTGGAAAGATTTCTGCTGGCTCTGGCTGTGATCCAAAGCATTTATAAAAAAACAGGCGTGTTTTTCTTTTGTCCTTGAGCAGCTCTGTCTCACCAACCTGCATTCTCTGTAGTGTGTCCACTGACTTCCTTTGGTTTGTCTTTGATCAACACATCACTGCTCCATGACTCAGGTGTAACTTGACAAACACAGACAGTGTGTAGGAGTCTCTGATAGTCCACAAGTCTTTAAAATGAACTTTGTTTACTTTACTAAATCTTAGATCTTCATCCTGGCAGAGCAGAAAGTGGAGGAGAAGCTTCAAACGTGTGGTGAAAGGTCTGTACTTTAACTAAGCTGAGGTCAGAGCTGGTCTCCTGGTGAACGTCCACCTCCTGACGTGGACTCCTTCACACTAAAAGCATTTCCTCAGACGTCACCGTCGCACCTGTGGGGAAGGAACTGGAGTCCGTTCATTATGTAAACGAGACTTCAATGTGGAGCAGCGTGACGTCTGGGAGACAGGATTGCTGGTTGACCAGTTTTCACAGACTAAACAAAGCCTGTTGTGCCTTTAGCGAAGCAGAGAAAAGAGGAAAGTTCTGGAAGAACCACAAAGTCCTCAGCAGGACATAAGTCTGCAGCAGGAGCTTCACCCTGGAGACCGGTCACTGCTGGGTCCAGCTCACAGTCTGGGTTAAATATGACTCTTTCACTGCAAGTTTGAAGCTTCTGTTTTCTGGGTTGCCCTACACCCACATAACATACGATGTAGCACAGCAGCAAAGTGATGGAACGGATATTTATTCAACCTTTTCGAAGCTTTGCTCCTCTGAAAAATGTCCACTTTTCACAACTGCTTCATCTTATCGTGCTTCTGTTTATCAAGCAAACATACAAGCGACCCCCGTTTATACAGAAACGTTCCTGTAAACAACAGTTAAATACTGGCAGCCAGTCATTTTCACATGAGGCCACCTGTTAAAGTCGAGACCACATCTTCTATAATATACTTCACAGAGCGTCACACTGTGATCAGTGTGATACAGTTAATTTAATATTTTAAAACGTAAACTGAATTGCAGACATATACTATAAATAGCAAAGTGGGTTTTTTATATTCATAAACTTTAACATTTAAAAATGTATATAAAACTCCTAAAACATAAACGTTAAAGGGTCAGGACATTTATTGAGCCTTTAAATTAATGTTAGACATCAAGGAAAAGTTATTTAACTTAATGAAAAAAAGAAAAACTGGTAAAACTGGTCCATCACAGGGAATCAGTGTGAAGTTATTAAAGTCTAAACAGCTTTATGGACGTTTTAACTTCTTGTTTTTGGCTCCAAAAAGCCTCAGATTTGAGCTGTTAGCTGTATTTTGTTGGAATCTGTGTTTCTACAGGCATTGATTAGTGCATTGTTCAGTTTCTCAAATTGCATAAAATGTCTGTTTTTCAGCACTAGTCAGTAGCCAGGGGTTAAAACAGGAATATATCATCTTCATAAAGGACAGAATAATTAACTGTGGATCAATATCTCAGGATTTATTCCTCTCGGGACAGTTTTCAGGACAAAAGCAGGTTTTAATCTCTGAGGAGAAGACCGATAGTCGAGCAGCGATGAGATAAGAATCTTAATCCTGGATGATCTCTGGTTCAGCAGATGACAGCACATCGGCACACCGTTGAGCTGATCACCAGTACAACCAGCTGGACCAGTGTGTGAAGCAGGCGACCAACCGGCACCGGTCTGGTAGTTCTACATCCAGCTGAAGGTTCTGCTGCAGCTGAGACACACAGACCCGCGGTGTGGATGTGTCCCAGAGCTAATAATAAGAGTGGACATCGTGAACATCAGCTGATTAGCCTCAATACATAATCTGTGTTCACTGTCCCCACTGACACCAGCAGCGCTTCTACACACACGGGTGTCCAGTCCTGGTCCTCCAGGGCCACAGTCCTGCATGTTCTAGATCAGGGGTGTCCAGTCCTGGCCCTCCAGGGCCACAGTCCTGCATGTTCTAGATGGTTCTTCTTCCAGCACACCAGATTCAATGATCAGCTCATCATCCAGCTCTGCAGAAGCCTGATAACCATCCTGATCATTGAATCAGGTGTGTTGGAAGAGGAACACATCTAGAACATGCAGGACTGTGGCCCTGGAGGACCAGGATTGGACACCCCTGATCTAGAACATGCAGGACTGTGGCCCTCGAGAACCAGGACTGGACACCCCTGGTTTCATAATAAGGCCTACACTTTCTTTGATGTCTGTGTTTTTATAAAAGTGTATTTAAGAAAAAAACTTTATTGTACAGGTTTTAAAGAACACTTATGTATATTAAGGACTGCTCTGTTTTACATTCTTTCCCACTTTTGTTAAATTGCAGATAACATCTATTGTTCTGTTTACTGAAAAACAAAAAAAACCTGGCTAAAACTGTAAACAATAAAGTTTTTACAAATGGTAATTTGTTCTTTTCAGTGTTTGTACATAATACTACGTGGTTTTACTGGATATAAATCAGTACGGATTGTTGTTTTACAGATATTATATTCTTTCCTAAAGTCTGCCTGTAAAATGACACTGTTTAGTATTTAAATCTGCAATAAATACCAATATTTCACAGACGTTTGTCTTAGTTTCTGGCCCCTTTGCTGCCAGATTTGCCCGTTTTCTTACAGCGCACAGACGGTCTGACAAAACTCTTCTCATTTGTCGCTGTACATTTCTCAGGTTTGAAAAGAGCCTGTATTCTGTTCAGGTTTAATTTCTTTTGTTAATTATCCTGCAGCTCAGGCTTCACCTTTAAACATTAAATCAGCGTTCGTATGGTTTTAAAGAACCTGCATGAAACGCTGTTGCTCCTGTTTGTTTCACTCCCACGTTTGCTTTCTAAGACAGAATCCTGCAGCTTCTGTTGCTCCTGACAGCTTCTGAGACGCCGTGAAAACCTGCCGCCTGAAATATTGACTGTTTTGTTGATTTCGTTTCGCTCGTGTGCAGCCGGTTCTGATGACGGTGCAGCTTCTGGATTTCAGTAACGGCAGATGAATGGCTTCATCTGTGGTCACACGAAGCCCAGGTGAAGATAATTAATTGCCCCCGTGGAAGACACATTTCTGAGACTCCTCCGGTATCAGAGCAGCAGAGTTTGACCTGCTTCTCCTCAAAAATAGCTCTGATTCGACCAAGATTAATGTGTTCGGCAGAGAGATCCACAATCTGAACGCATGTGAGGGAATATCCCCGTTTCAGTCCCTCAACACAACCTCCAAGTGTTTATATCCACCTGAGTGGAGGCACGCCACTGAGTGAATCAGCAGCAGCGCCTTTCTTCACTTTAGGAAGAGTTCACTTGTGCACTGTCAGTTAAAGGGACTTTTTGAAATAGGTAACCTGATTAAATTGGTATTAACTTGTAAATTTAATCAGTGACTAGATACAAATTACATGGTGACTTTAGTAAATAGCAAAAAGAATAATCTAATCTAAATGCTGCTTGATAACTTCAACATTGAAAATATTGCATCTTATAGCAAAAATGTGCCTCAAATCTAGTTTTGTCTTCTGTTCCTGTAACACACTGAATGCTCAGCTGCTAGTTTCAGTGTAAATACAAATGAAAACGTAACATCAGCTGATATCAAACTGTTAGTGATTAATATTCAGTACAAATACCAGTTGAGTAATTAATAAAACTGTCAGTAGTCTGATGAAGGTTTAATCACTTTACATATCCCAGATTTAAAAAGTCAGCTAACTATAATCTATATTTCTCGAGCTTAATTACACTGATTACTTTCTGTGATCGACGAGGTCATGGAACCCTGATCACATGTCACCTGTTCCTCCCTCGGCCTGCACACACCTTTTGTTATTCAAATACCACATTAAAACTATCAAAGTATTTTGCAGTGCATGTTGTCATGGTGCTCAATAATAATAAGAACAACTCAGACCGATCAATTGATGATGAGAAGAGCAGAAGGTGAATGAACTGACTGGTTCTCGGCTCAGTGCTGTCACTAGAGGCCTCTCTTTCACTCTTCAGGCTCAGACGTGAGCAGCAGCACTGGAACATGTATAAATATATATATATGTTCTCTCAGGGTTCTTTGTTACAGCCCCGTTAAAGCAGGGAAACCTTACTGCCTGTTTCACATCACGGCCAGGGGACTGCAGATGAAAACTAGTCTTCTGGCTAATTCTGACTTTTTTAACCATGTGTAATCATGTGTTTTATGAAATAAACTAATCTCATCTAATCTAACCAGAGGAAGGTGTTTCCGTTGCATAAAAACATCTTCTTGAACAAATGAACAGAACAGATCCCTGTTTTCTTATTTAAGTTTAACTTAATTCTTCTCTCCACAGTAGTTTTTGATTCTGCTTTGCACGACTACACTTATTTTTATTTTTAGTTACTTTTAGTTTTTAGCTTTTTTTATATTTTTATCTTGTTGTTGCACCGACCCACCAGAACAAATTCCTTGCAATGTGTAAGCTATACCTGGCAATAAATCTGTTTCTGTTTCTGATTCTGAGGCGGCTGTGTCCAGGTGTGCTCACCTTGCGGCCCTCCACAGTGTACAGCTTCCTGGTGTGATACTGCATCAGCTCAGAAACCTCCTCTAAGAACAGCCCAAAGCTGCGTAGACTCCTGCGGTGCAGCACAATGGTCCTCCGGAGCGTGGGGTCGCTGTTCTTCACCAGAACCAGCCTCTTGTTGTACCTGTGGTGGTGGAGCCAGTGGTCCAGAGGGGGGTCCTCTGGCCGGCTGGGCCCCCTGTGCACGCAGCGGTGGGGCTGCTGGTGGTGCTGGGGGTGGTAGACTGTGTGGTAGTACTGAGAGTCTGCAGCCCGTCTGCACTCAGAGCACAGGTAGCACTCCGGCTCCAGGTGGGCCACCAGGCCATGCTGGGGGATCCGGGGCAGGCGGGGTACTTGATGCTTGAAGGGGACAGAGGGCCGGTGGGAGTCACCTCCGACAGCGCTGAAGCACTGGAAGCTGCGTTTGTGGGCCGACATGTCTCAGGTGAGCTTCGGCAGACAGTGACAGACGGACGCCATGTTTCTCCTCAGCTGCCTAGAAGAAGATGCAGAGAACATCGGCATGGTTCCCCCCAGACACACACTGAAACAGAAAGAAAAAACATAGAACAGGATCATGATTCAACATCAAGTCCTGCAACTCTGAGGAACCAGAACATGAAGGAGACAGAACTCAGAGATGTGTTCTGTCAGCAGGACTCAGAATGATGGAGACCAGAGAAATACACTTTTCTTCATCATTTATTTGAGACAGAGGAGCTCAAATGGCTCAAACTGTACTTTTAGGTTCTGTATCTGACTCAAAGAACAGAACAGAACAGAACTTTACAGATGATCCAAGGACGTCTGGCCAATGAATTTCATTTTGGTGATTTGTTTAAAAATACATCTTTCAAATTCACCGGTGGGTTTTGGGTGTTCACAAGGGTAAAGAGCTAAATGTTCTTCTCAGTTCATGTGCAGCAGGTGTGAACAGCTCACCTGAACAGTACCAACAGAGATGTGGCAAAGTGCAATATCAGTGTCAGAACCTCATAACTGAAGCTCTGTGGTGCTGCAGAGACAACCAGATTGTGCAGACGTCAGGGAACTCGTTTGTTACAGACATCATCATTTTTATGCTTCAGCCCAAAGACGATGTAAAAGCTCCCATTCCCACTCACTTTGTCGCTCATATCGCAGTCAGAACAACCTGCTAAAATGACCACAATGGGATTTTTTTTGCAGCCTCAGTTGGAGAAACAGACAGAACTCCTTGTTTCTTGATATCTTATCCTCAGATAACCTGCAGGCACCATCCTCTCCAGTTTGTCATTTTTAGCACTGCTTCGTAACCCAGCGTGATTCCTCAGCTTCTTCTCTGAAGGACTTAAGTCTAAATTAGAACCAAAACATGGCTGATCTGTGCTGACATGAGGCCGGTCTGAAAAAGAAAATCCTCAGAGACACCTTTAAGTGTGCAGGTATAATCGGTATAATGCTGTTCTCCGTGTAACTCGTGTCTTAACAGACAAACGAGACTGCTGTAGCTGAAGATTTAGAAGTTCAGGAGACCCACCGACCTGGAGGGCTGCAGATCTGACAGTAGCCTTCCTGCATTTACTGTCCGTCCAGAATACAAAAGCATGTGTTTACTGTGGTTGGTGCAGCTGAAACAATCATATCGTGACTGAGGAGAGATTTATTCAGAGTTTAGTCTCAAGCATCTGCACCGTTTTCAAGCAGGATTCACGTGACACTGCTGTTACATATGAACAGGCTGCTCTGCAGATCAAAGAGTAAATGAAGGCAGGGATAATGAGGATACAGCCACAAATAAATCCTCCCAGTGACTTTAAATAACAAGCTTAAGACTGTGTTAGCGCTGGAAGTGGACATTACCTCAGTGATTGTCACTGACGAAAATACATCCTCAGGATGCTTCTCCTGCAATTAAAACGCTCAGATTACTTAGAAATATCTGCAATAAGCACAATGCATTCTTCCTGGGACAATACTGGAGGTAAACACGCCTCATTGTTGCCTGATGGAGAGGGATGCAAGCCCACTGTGAGATGCAAATAAAAATGCTGCACATTCTGGAAACGGTAAAATAGGCTAAGCTTGACTGACACCTATAAAGAGCTGGTTTGGCTGTTGTCCTTGTTCTTGTATTAACAGTGTTGTAAGTAAAACAGCCAGTGTTCCCTGCAGCTCAACGCTCTGGCAGAGCAAAGAAAAGTCATTTATCGCAGTAAATACTCTGACATGTCACGCTGCCAAGTCTTTAACCAACCTATAACCATTTATAGCCCGCAAAGGCTTCTGATTGTCTTCAGTATAAGTTGAGTAGACAAGGTGATGCTGCGCTCCATAATCCAGGATTATGAAGGTAAATTCTATTTCAGTGAATTTATATGAGAGTCTTAAATATGCTCTTTGTAAAATGTGTTTTAGAATCAATCGTACCATGCATGTATTACAGCAGTCAGAATATTTCATGAAGCTGTTTCAGAGCTGCTTCGCTGCAGGAGGCCAACATCACAGGTGTCCCATCATCAGAGGGAACACGGTGGTCTTAGTGCACTTAGTAAAAGGGAATAGATCTCACTACACTGTAGTGTTATGTTTGAACAAAAAGAATAAGTATTTTGCAATGAGCTGCCACTAAACAAATGAAGGGCCTGTTTCTACTGACTGGATTAAAATAAAGGATTTCTTGATTCAGCAGGGCGAGGTAACGTGTGATCTGGGATAAAGAGGATCTCTGGCGTGGCCTGTTGTCCAGCTGACGCTCACAAAACAGCTCCAACAAGGAGAATATCAGTTTCATCAGGAGGTCACCACAACTGAACACCAGGAGAACATCTATCTGTGATTTCTGACAGAAACTGATTTGATTTGTAATCAGCTTTTTCAAAGTCCTGTTTGAGTTGAATATTTTTAAAGCGTGATGGAGAGTCTACACATCAGACTCTAATAAAACCATGACTGACACAAAGAGGACATGAGGAACCTGCACAACCTCTGACTCACAGCTTAAACTGAATCCTGTACAGGACATCTGCAGACATCACTGCAGTCTCTGTGGCTCTCTTACTGCACTGCTTAAAATCAAGATTCAGTCGATTTGTTGTTTAACGTGCAGTGTTGCATCCTTTCTCTGCAGGAATCAGCAACAACCCATCCTGCAGGTCTTCACATGAACTTGATTAGATTTTCTGCAAATGAAACTGCCTTTTCGTTGCATTGTTCCAGTGGAGCAGCGCAGCCTTAACGTACAGTATATACAAACACTGAGAAGAAGGTTACTCACCTGATCCACAGTCATAAATCAGACAGTTTGATGAACTAACAGAAATATTCCCAGAGCTCAGGATGTGAGCTGTAAACTCCCAGAGAGCAGCTGCAGAGCAGAGAAGCCTCCTGAGCCTTCTGCAGCAGCGGCCTACCTGCTAATCACATCCATGGACGCTAAGGATAGCAAGAAAAGCCTCACTAATCACTCTGAGATTGGACTGAAATCTGCTGAGGCTTTGGACACATGACTTGGACTTCACCGTTGCATAAAGGGAGTTAAAGCATCTCCAGAAAGCAGCAGCAGTCGGTGACTAAGCACAACACGCCCCTCTGTTCTGTCAGCAGCGGTCACTGCTGGATACCTGTCTGTGGAATACACCTGAACAACACCATACTCAACATGGTTACACCTGAACA